AGTAAACTATCAAAAAATACATAAATTATGGCATCGAACGATCAAGCTCAAAATGAAACACAACCAGTGGTTAATCCTCCAAAAAAGATTAAGTAAGATACTGTTAATAAGTAAATAGTCGAATTGATATCTCTTCTTTCATTAAAGTCATACATGGTATCAATCAGAAAGTACTGTTGTCGTTGTAATTCCTATTCGAAATGTACAACGAGATCAAGTAGATGTTGAATCTACTGAAAATACAGTACGTCTTTTTTTTCTGCGATTGATTATACAATGATTTTTTAAAACTTTTCTGTTTAGTTAAGTGTTAATATCAAATTACCATCCTCAAATAGTGAATATAATCTTAAACTCGATCTAGCTTATCCAATTAATTGTAATCGTACGGATTTTAAAGTTAATACAGCAAACGTAAGTTAAAAATTATCTTTTTTTGCTTTGAAATATATTATTCGATTTTTTTTTAAATATAGGTTGAAGTTCGTTTGTATAAAGTTGATGCTGTACAATGGACATCACTTGATGCTCAACATAAATCAAATGTTCCACCAGGTAAACTCATATTTTTTTTTGTATAGTTATAAGAATAAAATAGAAATATTAATCTTTGTTTTCTTCTAGTTAGTATGAATCGTACACCTACTGTACAATCAGTTCCACCATCGTATCCATCATCAAGTAAAAAAGCCAAAGATTGGGATAAATTTGAAGTTGAAATAAAGAAAGAAGAAAAAGAAGAAAAACTTGAAGGTGATGCAGCACTTAATCAGTATGTAAATTTTTGTAGATATTATGAAGAAAAATACAGAAATCAATTGATTTAATTTCTGTATAGATTATTTCAACAAATTTATCGTGATGGAACTGATGAACAAAGACGAGCAATGAACAAAAGTTTTGTATGTTTTTATTATGATAATTTTTTGTTTGTTTTATTTTACTTTATCATATTTACGTATATAGATGGAATCGGGTGGCACTGTATTAAGTACTAATTGGGATGAAATTTCCAAGACAAAAACAGAAGTCAAACCTCCTGATGTGAATAGATATTCTCCGTTCTTGTTTTTTTTAGAATCCTATTACTTATTTTTCTATTGTTTTAGGGAATGGAATGGAAATCATATGATAATTAATATACTGATCATACTAAAATTTTCATAAACTATGTTTTACATTGAATGATACACATTGACTTCTGTGATTTGTGTTAAATGTATTCTTCGTTTGTGTTGAAAAACGAAAATTTTAACCTTGTCAAATTTAACTTTTTACAAAAAAATATCTCGATTTGAAGCAAAAAAGCATAAGAAAGAATTTTATCATTCATCAGAAAACATCATGTTATTCACTAATCTATTCTATTAATAGCATACACATTGATTGAATAACAGACGGGCTGTTTGTTTATATTTGGCTTCCTTGAAAGCATTTCCGAGAAGTCAAAAGCTATGGATTAGGACCAACATATTCTACACCTTTCGAATATGACTTTAGAAATTTTATCTTAATTTTTATTTGAGAATAGTGAGGTAATCTTTGAAAAACGCAAAAAATGAAATTTGGACAAAAAATGCGAGCCGAAACTTTCAATTCAAATGGTTACTCATTTGATCTGTTCGAAAGTATATCAGACAAGCCAAAAAACTATGGATAATGATCAGAATTCTGTGCTCTCTTTGAGAATGGAATTAGAACTATTGTGTCTATTTTTGTTCGAAACTAGTGAAAGAATTTTTTAAAGACCGAAAAATATTAGATTGATTGGTGAACCAATAGACTTTTGCTGATCCCTATAAGTTTCCTTTTCGAAGGTGCGAAAAAATATGCGAGTTGATTTGTTTTTGTCAAGCGGACATTATTTTACAAAATTTTATATTGAACAAATCTGTGTCTTTTACCTAAGTAAAACTACATGTACATTGTCAAGAGCTCCTTGATATGCATAACGCCTGTTAGTCAAAAGGTCGATTTTTCAAAGGATGAAGATTTAAGAGAAACGAAAATTGAAGTGATCTGTAGAAAAAAAAACTCCAATAGTACATTTGGTAGAATAGCTTCTACTCTACAAACTTATATATTAATAAAAGTTTCAACATTTACTTTTGAGTTACAATAATGAAGGCACAACAATGTACGACAAAAATTTTCTATCCAAACTATTTTTTGAACTTTTCAAAAAGATCATCTCATTGTTCTCAAGAAAAATTCGAGAGGAAATTTTTAAGTGTACATTTGAAAAGAGTACAAAATTCTCGTCATAATCCACAGCTTTTCAACTCCTCGGAAACACTTTCAAGTGATGATCAGCGGAGTCACATTCTTTCGTTCCGAAATCCGACTCCGACTCCGAAAAAATTTTCTTTCAACTCCGATTCCAACTCTGACTCCGAAAAAACTCCGAAACTGTGTTTTGTAGCTTATCGACGTAAAATTCATACCAAGGTTCGATATTCTGAAAGGAGAAAAACTATTGGCGACTCAATAAGAAATAAAATACAGTTTATTTTGTCATAAGACACATTTCGTCATGTTTTTTTTTCAGAAACAAAGAAAGAGAAATTATGAGTAACAAATTTTAACACATAATTGATGATTATCGGAGTCGGACTTTTTGTTTCTGAAACCCGACTCCGACTCCGTTAGAGTCGGAGTCGGAATCGGGTTTCGGAGTCCTATGCAGTTCACTACTTCCAAGGTAGTCAAACATAGACAGAAATCTTCGACCAATTCGTTAAGATGTTTAAATATCAATAAAAATCAATTGAGCACACTATCTGAACTTTTAGAACAATTATCAGATCTTATTGTTATTAAAATAATTTTTATAGCTTCACATTGATGGGTGAAATTTTGTAAGGAACAATGGTCTTGATTGATAATCTATCTGATTATGTAAGGAGTAGTATGTTTCCCTTTTTTTTCTCTGACTTGAAATGTCGAAATGGTTTTCGACTGTTTTTTATTTCAATCGACGACGTGATCTGTGTCTTTTTGATTTCGATTTTCTTCTGGACTTTGATCGATTTTTGGAATGTCGATTTTTGAATTTAGATCGCCTGTTTATTTTTCGGCCTATTGATCTTGTTCGACTTCGTAATCTTCGATTTTTTGATTTTGATGATCTTCGTGATTTACGTCTTTTTGATTTCGATGATCTTCGTGATTTACGTCTCTTTGATTTCGATGATCTTCGTGATTTACGTCTTTTTGATTTCGATGATCTTCGTGATTTACGTCTTTTTGATTTCGATCGACGACGTACTTTACCAATTTTGTTTTTTTCGTCATTTGACTTGAATCGATCTACATGAGAAAAAAAATCAGGAAAGTCACTGATTTTACATTATTTAATTGATGGTCGGCTACCGTAGAAACGAAAAATTAAGTAAAAATAGAAAATTATAATTTTGGTTAAGCAAAATGATGAGTCATTTACTAACGTTTTTTCTCTAATTGTTGCTTCTGTTTTCTAGTTGATTTTTTGTTTTTCTTCAATGAGAAATCAGGTGGTTTTAAAAAATATTGACTGTCTGTTGATGGTGAAATATTAGCCATATTCTGTTCTATTGAAATATTCGTTTCTTTAGGTGAATGTCGATCTACTTTGTTTTTATATCTTGTATCAATATCTGTCACATCTCTTTCATTTGTCGCATATTTGAATGGTGATGACGACTTTTGAGAGGAAGATGATTGAAATCCATCGTTTTCATATAGATTACGAAGGAATGCTTTATTTTGTGTTACTCTGTACTGATTAATAAAATGTGGCCAAGCATTTTCTTCTTGAGTTTCAGAATTCCAAACAAATGTGTTATTATCAAGCATATTCTTCATAGCTCTAGCTATTGGAGGTAAATATTCTTGCGACTCATTCAAAACAAAACGTTGATACCAAAGTGAATCGGCTAAAATATCGAACGATGGTATAGGAAATTCTTGTTTTTCTTGATTATCAATATTTTCTGATGTTGAATAACTTGATGATTGTGAACAGGCGAAATTTTGTGACTTATGAATATTCATATTAGAAAATAGAGATTGTTGTTGTTCATATTGATTTAGATTAGAAATATTCGAACAATTAACTGGACGATGAACCCATAGCCAAAGACCTAATCTAATACTTTGACCTATGCGTTTAACATAATCAAATGTACCTAAATGATAGAAAATAAATCTTTCATTACGATTACTTAATACATTTTTTTTTTACGTTTAAAAATATTCTTATCTAGATCATATTGAAGTTTTAATATAGCTATTCGTTCAGCATCCCAAATAGATACTAATTGACGTAATCTTTTTGTTTCGTCTTCATTTTGTTCAATTTCATCCCATCCATAATTACGAAGAAAATTTGATGTTTTCGATTGTTCAACTAAATTTATTTACAATAAGAATAGATTTTCAATGATTAAAATGTAACGCTCAATAAATTAGATTTCATTTAATATATCTCACTATTTTGAAAAATATTTCGATTTTTTGGCGGATCTGACAAATTCCACGGTTCGAAATGTTTTTCCGGTGCAACATATGAATCAACAATATGAGTATATCCAACATTTTCTTTTTTAATCTCATCATTTAATGATGATTGATTATTCACTTCATGTCGACAATATGTTTTCATAATCAATGTAATCAAATAAAATCTATTTAATTAAAGGCGCAAAAAGAAATATGATCTGTTTGTCTAATTCGTTTTACTCCAAAAAAAAATAATGCGTACGAGTTAGTAGAACATTTTTATTTATTTTTATATTAAAAAAAGAAAATATTATTATCATCTGCCATTATTATTAAATTAGTTGATGCTATTAATGTTCGAGTAATCATTGTGATCAATCAAGTCGGTTTTTTTTCGATGAAAATGCTTTGAAAAAAATAATAAAAAGCATAATTTATTGAAAATAGTTTTTTTTCTCAATATTTCAAATTGAATTTTTATTGGATTCGAAACTTACAGATGATTTAGAATATTGTGATAGTTAATCAATTTTTTTCATAAATGGTAATATTCGTTTTGTTCTATTAGATTTTATCGAAGAGATATGGTGTGATTTATTGGTATTTATATTTGATATAATGATATCTTGTTGAGAAAGATGATCAGTTACATTATTCAAATTATGTTCAATTTCATTTTTATTATTTGATATTTGAGAATATGTTGATGATGAAATCAATTTTTCTTTGATTGGTATTGATGATAATAATATATTTGTTTGAGAAGGATGATCTGTTATTTTATTGCACAATGAAAAGTTTTTTAATGATTGATTCATATTATTTATTGAATATAATTCATGAAGATTTTGTTTCTTGTTAGATTTCGAAAATAAATCTTGATTATTTTCAAGATTTGTTTCTTTATCGAATTGTTGATTTTTAATAGGTATTGAATTCATCATTGAATTGAATGATGAAGCAAATGTTTTTGCGTCTATTTTATTTGAAAATTCAGTATTATTTTGTTCGATTTTTGATGTATTATAAGGCTTAAATTTTGATTTCAATAGTTGTTCATTAAGTTCTATATCAAGAAAATATTTACTTCGATTTTGTTTTTTCTTTGTCAAAATCAATATTGATATTAGATTTTATCTCACTTGAAGATGGCTTTGTCATAGGTCGATGTACAATAGGTGATGATATTGCAGAAGTAGTTTGTGGTGAATCATTAATAGAAATTGTTTGTAGATTTTCTTGAGATAATTTACGTTTCGGAAGTGATATAAGTTTTGTAGGACTTGAAATGATATGTTGATTTAATGGTTCTGAAGTATGAACTGGTGTTTGAAGTTTTTCATTAGTAACAGTTAATATTGTCTTTTCATTTATATCAATTCTACATTTATCTCTTGATGTCTCTAAATCGATAGGTACTGAAACCATATCTTCCTCAATATGTTTTTGTTTAGTTGGTTGTATTGATAGAGTTTTATTCTCTATTTGAATTATGTTTGCTGGTGTTTGTTCACATAATAACGAGGTAACACTATGTAATTTTGTTGGTTTTTTACTCAAATTCTGAAGCGATGTAGTTCTTTGTAATTTATTAAGAGTAACTAGCATTAGAAAAACATATGATTTAATGATTTGGATATTATGTATCAACATACTATTCGATTTTGTACGATTTTCATGCAATTTAGTCAATTGAGCAATAGATTTAGCAAGTTGTTCATGTGTCATTTTACCTAACATGTAACAATTAATAAATTTTAAAAGTAAATACATATATATTTACTTAAAATATCAGCAAGAAATAATGATGGTTTATGTAGTAAAATATTGCTTGTTGATTGTGAATTAGATTCATTTCGTGATACATTAGGTTCATGATCAATTATATTTGATAAATTAGTTAATGATATATAGGAAATATTTTGTTTAATATGTTGATCATTCATTAAAGGTAATTCTTCAATAGTATCAATATTTTTATCATGTGATATTGTTTGACATTGATATGATGTAGTAAATACAGATGGTTGACAATTTGTTCCATAACATTCAACACCATTCGATGAAATGAATAAGGAATAGAGTTGACTTTCTTCAAAACGATAACAATAATTTATATATCGATCACGTTGATGTTGACGAGTTTGATTTGTAACTATTTGTGTAGATTCATGTTGATTTGATTTAGAATTACGTCGAGTAATAGTTACAGATTTTTGAGATAAATGTGAATCGACTTCTATATAAATCAAGAGAAGAAAAAAATAAATAAGAAAAATTTCGATGTCTAACTTTCTGATTCATTATTTGAATTTATTCGTAATTCAATTGAACCATCCGTTGCAAAGTTGGTAGATGTTAAAGATGTAGTGTGTAATTGTTGATTTTCTTTCTGATTAGGTAATAAGATATCCGCATTCCGAGAATGATGATGATCAATGGCATTTTGATTTTCAGAGAAATGTCGTGCCATAAAAGAAGAAGAAGAAGAAGACTGTTCTATCAAATTAAAATTATTATAATACTCAATAAAAAATTATAAAAGAGTTGTATATAACAAAACGTATTCGGAAGCAGCAATACTTAATTTTCGTAAAATTCATTACTCATACGTAGATTTAACTAATACATCATTTAATATTTTTTGACATTTAAAGAATTTTTCAATGTATTATCTGGATACTATTTCTATCACAAACAAAACGTATAATCACCTTACTTACTACGCCATAAAAAAGGTTGAGATGATGATTGTACTTCTATATTTGAAAACTCTTATCTTTGTATACACTAGAATAAAAAAAAAAAATCGTTGAAAAGATTCTGTTCACATGAGATAAATGAAAATTTTATTTTCATCAGCATTTTATCTCAATAATATTTTTAGTTGAACATAAGAAATCTATTCTTTTATTTACTTTATTCCAATTGACAAATTGTTTCATGTTAAGTACACTGATAACTAAAGTTGGCAATGGAAATGCTACAGATAATTGTATATAGCTAATGCTATCATCGTTGAAATAATGATATTGTCAAGCACTTATACTGCTTATTCGTATAGATTAATTTTATAAATGTATATTGATTGAATAATGAGTGCACATACGAATCAAATACAATTCACGATTTCGAAATCGTACTAATATTAAAAAAAAATATTTAGCAAAGCGCCAATTATCTTACATTGTAGATTATTCTTTAGTGATATATTTATTAGGTGCATATGGAGAAAATGATACTTAATAAAAATTAATAAATGTCATAAAGAAGAGCAACAACAGATGAATAAGAGAGATGATAGTGTCCAATTAACTTTCCATATTAAAGTTATATAGAAAAAAGACACTAGTCCAATTTCTAATGATTTTGATATCTACGATAAGTTTTAATATTTTCAAATAATAAGAAGAATTTGTTTCAAATATAAATATCTTGCATTCTATCAGTATAAAATCGCCGACCTCCATGTACAATTCACAACCGTTTGTTCATTAGCACATTTAATACATGTTGAGATTTTGTGTCCTAAGAAACTAGTATCGTAACCAAATCTATGTTTATCTGTTTGTATTAATGATCATCTAGAAAGTCGAACCTGTTATAATTTTTTCGTTATAGTCGTAGCATTTTATTCTATAGTTGCATTGATCATATAATATTCAATTAACATCTGTTAACAATAGGCCTCACAATTTTCTTAGTTTATTTCATTATGCAACAATATTCAAGTAGTTGTTCTTGTTTATTTTATTGTTCAAATCTCAAATAAAGAAATAATCACAACAGTACATTTATAGATAGAAAATGAAGAAAAAGAAATACATATGAGAGAACATGATCACGATTACGTAAGATAAATACATGAGTCAGTTTTGAAACTCGCCCCTCAGTTGTGCATGCACATATGCGCATGATACAAAATATATAGGAGATTATGTGTATTACTAACCATTAAAATTGTCATTAGTTAAAAAAAAACACAAAAACAAAAGAGCATATATAAAAACAAATTCTATTTGTTAATTGATTTGTTTGTCAAAAAAGCAAAGAAAAGTTTATATTTTCCATGAATTTCGCATCATTAAATCAAAATACATATCATTATCAACCGATGCACTAACACCTGAATAATAATCGATAAATTCCTCACGTGTTACCTACAAATAATAATTGAAGAAAAATTTTAAAATAAGATAAAGAAAAGGCATGAATACTTACAATACCATCTTTATGTTTACCATAATCAAAACAATCAAGAAATTGTCTCAATACTTGATCTTCACTCCATTCACCATTCATATATTTTGGATGATGTTTCACTATATAAACACCTCGTAAATCGTCAACTGTTATTTGACCATCATGATTTCTATAAATGTATGTAAATATTTTCTAAGTCAAGAGAATATTTTTATTTCTACATACTTATCAAGTTTAGCAAAGGCTTTAGCAATCAAATCAAGACGAAAACTATTCATTGGAGGCTAGAATATTGATATGAAAATCATTATATGACATACGATTTAGCTTCTTTCACATTGTAAAACATACTCGTAATCGACGTAGAAATTCGTCGTAGTCAATCTGACCACTTTGATCAATATCGAAAAGACGAAAAAGATCTGCAATTTCAGCTTTCGAAAAATTTAGCCCATATTCGTCAACACCTTTCTTGAATTCTTCCACGTTCAACTTGTTACTTTTATCATCATCCATAATACGAAATAAACTAAAACAGACATGAGAAATATAGAAACATATATTAGTAGGAATCCATATTGATTTTTAACGAGATTCAACCGCAAGCAGCAAAGATAAATTATTCAAAGTACTAGTTAGCAAAATATTTCCATCGGTAGAAAATCTCAGCATATGAGAAGTACGTACATAGATAATCCTTTAATGCCTTGTGCTCCTCGAGCCAAACACGCTGCACGCAAACGCTCTAATGGATCTGTTGTCGTTGCTAATGCTTGTTTTGATTTTATTTCGAGTTCTTTTTGGAGGCGTGTTGTAGCTGCCATGCTAGTAAATGTGTAGAATAAAACAGTTGCTATATACTTTGATCTACAATATATCTAGTATTGAATGAATATACAGACTATTCACAAGGTGTATATATATACATATGTATAAATATATTTTCTCCTTTTTTTTGATAACAAATGACTATAGTAGCACAGTTTGTATTCTTTGAAGAAATTGTACTGGCGACATCACCATGCAACGATTTTAAATAGAAAAAGTTGTTATGGTAACAGACACAGATATCGATAACTTTGATGAATTTCATTTTTAAATAGTATATTTTGAAAATTTTTGTATATTCTATTTGGAAATTAAAAAATTTTTGATTTTTTTCTGAAGAAAAAATAAACCAATAATTGAGTATCAGGTGCAGCGCTACTATCCACTTTCAAGGAAACAACGGTCACTCTCATGATCAAGTCTTTGTTTTCGTGTACGATTATGTTATGTTTACTAACTGACCATAGGAGGCTCAATGGTGACATTTACAATAAAAAAACTATTCGATACTTTCAAAAATTTTTTGTTGCGCATTATTCGTCATTTAGATCGATAGAGCTTAACAGTTGAATCACGCATTAATTTGACTCACATTATTACTCATACGCAAAAATTAAGAGCGTCATCTGTGGGAGATCATTAAATGATGATTAAAAACTCTTTCTTTATATTTTCTTTGTCTATTTTATATTTAGATTATTTGATATAGACATATTCATCCTTTATTCTTATTCTATCTTCATATATAAGTTTTTCTATCAATCTCTTTTATCTAAAACGATTAATATGGCAGCAGCAATGGCATATTGTACAAACAGAGCTTTCTATCAACATTCATTGGCTAAAGCAAGAACACAATTTACACCGATTTCTCGTCGAACAACTTTATCACCATCAGCGTCTTGTCCTACTGTTTCAATACCACAAATTGAACAATTATCCATTATAAAAACAATAAAAAGTGATGAAAATAACAATAGTCATCAAATTGAAACTGCTGATATGGCAAATATCGATGATATTCTTGATATTACAAGTGATGATGATATCGATGATAATCAACTAGTAAACGATATTGATGAAGAACAATTTCTAGCATTTGTTGGTCTTCGACGTAAGATTAGAAAACCAATTGTACGTAATCTATATTTACGATCATTAACAAAACGATTGGCATGTCCAGTATGTTTACTTCCTCTACCAAAATATAGTGAACGTGTTCGACAAGCTTTATATGTTCGATTACCATTCTTGAAATTTTTATCAATAACATGTGATATTGAAAGTTTTTGTTCAACAGATGAAAATGCCAAAGCACAAAGTCTTCTACCACGTTCAGTAACACAAACACGTGCTTCATCAACATTGAATCGAATTAAAAAAAAACAGAAATTACCAAAAACAGGTAAATATAAAATAAATCAATATGAGAAAAACATGGATAGTAGTTTGAACGTGATGACAGCAATAACAATCAATCACAAACAAAGAATGATATCATGAAGTGAATTTTTTCATGGAAGAATACATCTAGCTGAAATGAAATCAGTCTATGATCAATTGAATTTGATAAAATGAAGCTCTGAATTGTGCCTTTGACAGAAGACTGAATAAAACATTCTATTGTAAAGATCAGATTAGATTTTTTGTTGAAAATTGAGAGTAGGTACATAGCCAAGAATTTGGCAAGGGAAGTGCCCACAAGCAGAAAAATATCTTTTTGGTTCGTGAAAATGTTTTTTAATCTGTACTCTATCTAGGTACTTTTTGGTCAAGGAGCGCACCTCCCTCCTGACTATGCCTCTTATTGAGAGTAATAGGTTCATAACAACCTTTCATTGATAAAACAAAAAAAATAGATTAATGGTGGAATATTTTCATTTATCTTAGCAATGCCTAAAGTAGCAAAGTTGATTCCTTTACAGTTTATCGTGTCATTAGAACTTTACTAACTCATTCTTATTCATGTTTTGTCTATTGTAACCTTATCTCCCACGTAAATAGTACTTCATGACTTTCATTCTTTTTCTTTTGAGTATTTTTGTACGATGAATATCTCTATTTAGTACATGTGAATACAAATTTACATGTAAGAACCTATATGTATTGCACAGGTATAGCTTATCTTTTCTTCTTTCTGATATCTTTTTTTTATATTACATAACTTCAATCACAGTTTACATAATGATTTTTCGTACGACACCTATTAAAAATTTGTCACTATGTTTGTAAAGTCGACCAATTGGAGTTTAGCAATAGGTGTACAAATCTGATCTGACACATAAATAATTAACTGACAAAAAATAAATTCATTATGACTTAGTATAGTTAGACTCTTTGTATTTGCGGTTTTGAAAGAATCTATATTTAAACTTTCTACAATATCTTAATTTTTAAAAATTATTACTAATAATGTTAATTTTTCATGTATTGTAATTAGTA